GTTATCATGCAAACCAGTGGTTGTGTGGAGTATTTTACAAAAGTTGAGGATTAATCTGTTAACATTATTTGAAGTAAAAAAAAAAAGTTAGTCTTATAGTAAAAATTAATCAACTCAATTTGCTGGGTAAAATTAACCCAACATGTGTTCTGTCCTATATTTATTCAGCCCAAATTGGGTTGTTTTTTAGAGTGTAAAGTCCAAAATTTTACTTCCTTTATGAAAAAGCCGATATGTAATAAACAAATTGGTAAGCAGACGAAACATAAAAATAAGTTTGAGCAATCATTTTTCGAGAAGGCAGATAACTGTCACTATGGTGTCACTTCTCGAGTGTTTGGTGGTTTTTGCACACTGTGGTTAAACAAGGAAGTTATGTTTTTCGTATTTCCTCCCCTGTGGAGGAGATCGTTGTAATGTGCAGTTCTTTCATGTATATCTTTGTAAATCTTATCATATTTTCATAATTTTGTCCAAAAACAAGATTCCTGAATCACTGCACTTATGGTGAGTTTAGATTTGATTATCTTCTGGTAAAATTCAGCACATGTTTGGTTGGTTGATTTATTTCAACATTCTAGTGAAGCTACAATGTTATTCTAGTAATATTAGGGCTGTTTTGTGAGTAAAAAAGGCCGATATCGATATATCAGATGATAATCTTTATGTGCATATTATAGTACAGTACCAGTCAAAAGTTTGGACACTTTCCTATTCGTGTGTCCAAACTTTTGACTGGTTCTATATATAGAATACAGTATATACATAAACAGAATATATATAAACACTTTTTTTTTTTAATGATCAATCAAATGTGATCAAACACTTACAATGACGTGACAAAAATATGTAATGGAGGCAGGGTATTTAACAATTTAACAATACACTTTATTATCCAAAATGAGTCTGACATCAGTGCACTGAACAGTCAAGTTGAAGTTTATTCAAATTTATTTCAATTGAATTCCATTCAGCTTTATTCAGCTGAAGTTTATTTCACTTCGGAATTTCAGATTTTCACCACGCAAATAGTGTTTCTTCACACACAGACGAAACTTACTAGTGAAGTGTAACATAATATACCTCTGTAAATAAATACTATTTAAATTCACATCTCGCGCACTTTAATGCCCTTTGAAGCTAAAGTACGTTCCCTTCGAACTGGAATCATGGCAGAAAGTCCACTTCGCAGGGCACTTACGGCTGAATAGAGCAAACCTCTGAAGTGATAAGAGAAACATACAAAATGTGCATAGCGGGGGGTCGCAAGGAACAGGATTAGGAACTGCTGCTTAATAGCATTGCATCTCTCCAACTAGGTGACAGCGTAGTGCTAAATCAACATTCAACAAACTCAAGCCACCTGTATTTGGTGCGGTCCCCCCCTGCCATTACAGAGATATGGCCGTTCAAAGTTTCAATGGTATTCCATACGCTTTAAAGCATTTCATCCAGGTCGCTAGTAGCAAAAAATGGAGCCCGCTCAGTTGGACAAACAACGTAATTGCACCATTTTCAAGCATTT